GCGAGTGAATTTATAAAGAACAATGTTGAAAAATATACGTAGCATTTTTATATCCACTTTCGTATGCTCTGTCTGTATTTTATTTCGTCGTTTGTGCTACTGTTTCAAGAATGGGTGACAATTCTCAGGTGGTGTTTCATAGATAGGTACTTTTACCTAATTGCTTTCCGATAGTTTCGGATCGTCTTCGCCGACGTATCGATCGCGTCAAAACTCCAAGCATATGGGCATAATAAACGATCGGGATAACGTTGTCCGTTTTTTTTTCCATTGCTTGAGTCTTTGATGCACGATTCTAGCTCTCGACGGGAAATGGTCGTGGCGAAAAGAATCTGGCGTTTTCGAAGGATATGTGCGTCTTTTCTGTCTGGGATCTAGAAACGATAAAAAGTTATCTGGTTTTCATTGACTCTTGAACCTTCGATCAATCTGCGTGGCACGACTTCGGCGCGATAAGCCATAATTTATGGACGATAATGAACTTGTTCTTAACGGCGAGTCGGCCTGCGCCGCTCCGAACCAATTTCACTCTGGTCTTGTTCTATAGACGCTATTGATCGGCTTTTTATTACGTCCATTGGGATGAATGTTTTGATCGGCGCAGATTTTGGACTTGCGCAGAAACGACGACACGAGCAACGGACTCTCTAGAATTTTTAACACGTTTCGATTCAGGTGGTATATAAAGACAGAAGATTGGGAATGCAGAGCGAACGTTGAAAATGATTTGTTTTCGAGGCAGGAATTTGTTTCGAATCGTTTACGTAGTTAAGCAAACCGTTGGATGCTTATTAAATCGGTAATAGAAATTTCTACTTGGCAATTGATTTTGACTGAAGATGAATTTAATTTGAACATTACGTTTTTAATAATTTGCAGCTTGTAAAATATTTCATTACGTTATATTTAACCTACTAAAAATTATGGAACGGGAAATGTAAAGTGAACGTGGAAAATGTTTTGTTTTTGGTGCAGGAATTTATTTCGAATGGTTTAGATAGTTAAATAATTTACTAGGTGTTTACGAAACCGGGGATAGAAATTTTTACCGAGTAATTGACTTTAATAAATACGAATGAAGATGAATTTGCACGTTATTATATATTTTCAGCTTATAAAATATTCAGTTACATTGTGTTTAACCTGCTAAGATAATTATGGAATGTGAAATTTTATGTCCAATTTTGCGATTTTCTATTGCAAACATAGGCATCGCATATCCTTTAAAAATCTACAATCTAAATATTTGAAATCTATGATTATACAGGGTGTCCCAGGTTTTAATGTTCAAACTTTGTCAGTATATTCTATGGCACAAAGTATGAAAAAAATGTTATGTAAACATAGGTCATATAGAGCTTTATTAAGAAGTTATAACAAAAATTCAGAATAGGAATAGTAATCAACTAAAAAAAAAAATAAAAAATAAAAAAAAATCTTCGATCGATGTCAATTATGTATTGTCAACAACGGTTATTAATACATTTCGAAATGTATTAATAAACACAGCTTACATAAACACACGGCATGTGCTGATTTATTCAAGCCAATGCTCGCAGTAACAGCAAGTTGATTACTATTCCTATTCTGAATTTTTGTTATAACTTCTTAATAAAGCCCTATATTTTTTTCTTACTTTGTGCCATAGAATACACTAACAAAGTTTGAACATTAAAACCTGGGACACCCTGTATAATAAATGTTTCACGTTAAAAGCACATTTTTTAATACGAGATAACAAATATGAAAATAATTTGCTATATTAATTCTTACCAATGAAATACGTTAGTGGTTAATATGCACAAATAAATGCGCAGTCGTTCGATATTAGGGATGGGTGGGGGGGGGGGGTGCGTTAATAAAATATTTTATAGTTCACTATAGAAGAATACATGAAGTAATTTTATTCGACAAGCATTCTTAATCACGTTTTATCTTCAAAGTATGTGGAAGGATTTCTTGGAGATAAGTTGAAGTTATTTGTGTCAGTCGTAATACTCTACTGTAAGAAAATGATTTCTACAGGCAACTGAACGCTCGAATCATCAAATTACAGAAGGTATTATTGTAGTGTTCGTACAATTTGCGTAACTTGTGAAATGTTAAGCATATATTTGCCTAACATCTGTTTGATTTAAAAAATATACGTACTTCATTATTTAAATAAAATGGCGTGAAAGTTTGTTCAATTGTATGAATATAGAAAAGTTTAGCACAAGGTTAATGCACTTCAACATAATACAATTTAATGTCTGTAATTAAATGATACAAATATTTATCAATCCTAAATCATAAAGGTCGATATATATAAATCATTGAATTAAATAAATATTAACTTAAGTTGTCCAATAATAGATTTACTAACTGAAAGAAAAAATAAA